ATGTACAAGCTCGAAGAAGGGACCGGCAGCATCTTCCTCTCCCTCTCCTACGACTCCACGTGCATCAACAAACTCCACTCCGCCTGGGAAGGATACGAGACTCTTGTCCTCACGCCCACGCCGCCCAAGACGCCCGCATCTGAGGTAGGTCGTTGGGTAGAGGTTGATTTAGGTGGTCGTATGGGTGGGGTGGATAGGGTTGTTGGAGAGGTGTTGTTTGTTTTATATGGCTTTGGTTTTGTTGTATTTTTCGTCTGGTTCATGATGGTAGTTTTAAGATGGTCTGTTCTTATTTCAAGTTGTTCATTTTTGTTTCTCTGTTTTTATTATTATTATTATTATTTGTAGATAATCACAAAAAAGTGTTAATGAACATTTGTCATTACTACATATGTATCTGTTTAAAAAATGTCAGTGGGAGGGGGGGGGTAATGCGGTCAATTAACTATATTTTATCTGAATTTTCCACACAATACCGGCCTCGTCTACAACCAATCCCGAGAAGAAAATAAAAACTCAAACCAACTTCATCAAACTTAAACCCATAAATCAAACCCACATTTCCAATAATTCGCTTAAACAACTTCAACCTCAATACCCCATATTTCCCATCAGTTATCCCAATCATGCAACTTGTAATCTCATACCCATAATACCCATTTCTCTCCCAATTTGTGCACAGGCAACGGCAGCCAACTGCCAATTCCCTGACTGGGCACAAGGGCAATGGGAGAACCTCAAAGTGGAGGGCAACCAGCTGACCTACACTGACCTCATCTCCTACAAGACCTATCGGGCGTATTGCCTGGAGGAGGAGATCGCTGGCTTGATCCCAGTCTACACGCAGTCTCAGTGGTAAGTGGCGGCTTCTTTCTTTTATTATATTTGCTTTTTTGATTTCAGGGATGTTGGTGTAACGCTTCTGGAGGTTATTTAATTCAATGGAGATTTTTTGTTGTATCAGTAGGTGGATATCTAGACTTTATGTGCGTTTTGAACACACACACACACACACACACACACACACACACACACACACACACACACACACACACACACACACACACACACACACACACACACACACACATACACATATTTACATAAATATCAAACCGTCTCTCGCTTACGTTCTGCTTACCTGGAAAACAATTTCAAACACATATATTTTTTATTTGCATACCTTTCCTCCCACAAAGCGGCCCCTTCTGCAAGCGCCGTGTCACGTGCTGATGTCATGGCTTCCCGGCACGAGGGACAAAGGACTACAAGGGCGGCTAACCAAGCATTGCGACGCCCATAAAACACGCGTGGGCGGGGCTGCCAGGGTAATGGCGGAATGTCGATTTGGGATGAGCTTTGCGCCGACGCTTGCTCAGAGACCTTGCCAAGGTCATGGACTCCTTCAGTTTATTGTCGATGCAATAAACAATAAAGTTGGGACCAACTTTGACTTTTATATGGCGAGGAACATTCGGGATATTTTACCATAAATAGTTTTCTGATACACAAAAAAATACACATACGATTGTTAAAGAAATATTCCTACTACACCATAATATATAAACAATAATAACTTTACTAACCCATAATCTTCTAACAACCAATCTCAACATTTGAAAATAAATGAAAAAAAAACAATCACATACAAGCCGTTTCTTAAGTGCACTCTTATACGACTTCTCCCCGACACTACGAAGTCCAGTCGTGTGTGAACCAACAGTTTAAACGCGAAGGAGATCATGTCAGCGGGAAATCCTTGAGGCGGTGGTGATTAGAACTAAGTGGCGGTGTAGTTAAGGGTAGTTAGCTGGGCCAAGCTACCGAGTCAGGTCCAGCAGGGTTACGCCCTTCCGGCCACAGAGAAATCCTCCTGTTTCCTTTTAACTTTTTTGTGTCTGTGTAGTTCCGGAATTTAGATTAACGAGAGCGAGGCAGAGTTCCTTGAAATCGATTTTGGTTTCTTGGTCGAATAAAAAAAAAAAAATCGACAAACTACCGAAGTAACGTTGATTTTTTGTTCGGATTGTATACGAAATATAAGACGGCAGATTACCCGATTCACAAAGTAAATTTTCCCACACTCTTAGTTTCGTTGGAGTATCCATCCCATAGTACTGACCCTCCAGTCGCTCCTCCCTCTTCCGTCCTCCTCTCTCTCCCCCTACCACCCCCCTCCTTCCTCCTTCCTTCCCTCCCCCTCCCTCGGGCTAGGAAACAGAGAGGGACGCCTGCCTTTGGGACGCCAGGTACAGGGGGACGCGTGGCCCAGGATGGGGGAGGAGTTTAAATGTCCCCGACAAGAGAGGGAACACACATTTCCGTGGGTGTTAAAGGGTGTACAAGTGAAAGTACGAAAGGGAGAGAACGGAAAGGGGGGGTGGAGGATCGAAATAGAGAGAGAGAGGAAGAGGGGAGGAGGGGGTGGGGCACTTAACACCTTGGCCAAACAACTACGCATAACGACGCTCACCGTATGGAGAGTTTAGCTAAAGTTGTG